CATATGGGGTTTTGTATTTTAAAAGGAAAGAGATGAGTCCTATTAGGACTTGCCATCTTTAAAGCAAGGGTCCACATATTCTTATTTGGAAAATGATTATTTCATGGAAAAACTACTATACATGCAACCTCATGCAATTATTCAAGACAAATTCAACCAATTAGTTCTCAACACATAGCGAGTTCTATGGAACTTACTATAGTATATCAATTCTTTCAAAGAATTGTTGTTATAGAAGGTTTATAGGTAAAAATCATGTATCCTAAGTAATTAGAGGTTTCCCATTATAGCAAGACCAAAGTTGACTAGCAAGGAAGAGGAGAACATGGTGCCAAAAATCTCTCCTACTTTGTAGGGATTTTTGGCAGATATTCAGTTACTAAACTTACTAAGTCAAAATACAAGCTTGCAAGAGAAAAGGAACGTGGGATAATTTGTATATATATATATATATATATATATATATATATATATTTGTGTTAAAATACAACCACGATGAGGAGTTGCTGAAATAAAGGAGTACATAACGCCATGAATTCCAAACTCAAAAGGAAAGTCTCAAGAAGGGGAAGTACCAAAAATCCAAGGAACGTGGTCTGCTGAAGGAAAGGGACGTGGGAATAAGTTGTAATTATGGAAATATATATATATACTGAAAACCCACGATGAAGCAATCATTGAAATTATGGAGTCCATGGCGTCATGAATTTCAGGCCCAGAAAGGAAGGTTTGGTTGAGAGAAGTTACAGAAAATCAAGGAGACGTGGTTTGCACAAAAGAAGGAACGTGGGATGACACATATTTATAGATATATATATATATATATATATATATTTATGTGTATATATATATATAATTGTATTATATGCAGCCCACGATGAAGAAGTTGCTAGAAAGAAAGAACCACAATGCCATTAAAGGAAAGATCAAACTAGAAGGAAGTTACCCAGGTTAAGGGTAACGTGGGTCTGCAAGTAACTTCTTTATTTATGCATGATATATATGGAGTTGTATGGGGAAAGAAGGAGTCTGCAGATGGAAAGGATTATAAAGATCGTGGGACACCTGGCTAAGTAAGAATACGTCGGTTGAAAGTGGTGTAGCTTTATAGGGGAACTACCACTAACTGAGGGAAGTTACCAAGGATCATGGATAACGAGTCTAAAATTGATAAAATCATGTCTGAAATTAAGGAAAGAAGTCGACAACATGAGGAAGAAGAACAAAAACGTGGGATATCTGTCAATTGATAAAGAGGACAAGTGGGAATTCACTTTAAAACTACCCACGACACAAGTTCATTGAAGATTAAAGAGAACATGGCTGAAGTCTGCAATAGAGGAGGGAGAAGATGGAAGGAAGAAGTTACAACTGCCAAGAGATCATGGGGCATTTGGCAGTCCCAAATTTGGCCACGTGGAAATTGCTGGAGCTGCCACTTCAAGCTGCTGCATGCATGGAAAGCTCTATAAATAGAGTACTTAGAGCTAGTTTGCAAACCCTGTTCAACACACACAACCAACAGTACTTCAATTTCTTTACATTCATGTATCTTTACATTTATGTAATGCAATTTCAATATGTTCAATTCAAGTCCCGCACTTACTATTCCTACTTTCCTGCACTTTACTTTGAAGTCTTGCACTTTCAATATCGCTTTCCTTTCCATTAGCCATAGTTCAGTCCGAAAGTCCTTTTTCAAGGCAAAAAGAACCTTTGAAGGTGGTAATTTTAGTCCTTCATTCAATCGCCTGATCCCTACAATCTCCTACTCGATAGTTGTTCGGATATCCACTTTGGAACGACAGCAGTTCCTGGCACACCCGACATTTACCCCTACTTTCCACTCACCTGGAAAGCGGAACTAGCGCTTTTTCGCAAGCCGAACTATATGTTCAGCTTGCGAAAAAGAAACAACTATATGTTCGGCTCGCGAAAAAGCGTTAGTTCTGCTTTCCAGGTGAGTGGAAAGTAAGGGTAAATGTCGGGCGTGCCAGGAACTGCTGTCGTTCCAAAGTGGATATCCGAACAACTATCGAGTAGGAGATTGTAGGGATCAGGTGATTGAATGAAAGACTGGAATTACCGCCTTCAAAGGTTCTTTTTGCCTTAAAAAAGGACTTTTGGACTGACCTATGGCTAGTGGAAAGGAAAGCGGTATTGAAAGTGCAGGACTTCAAAGTAAAGTGCAGGAAAGTAGGAATAGTAAGTGTGGGACTTGAATTAAACATATTGGAATTGCATTACATGAATGTAAAGAAATTGAAGTGCTGTTGGTTATGTGTGTTGAAAATGGTTTGCAAAATAGCTCTAAGTGCTCTATTTATAGAACTTTCCATGCATGCAGCAGCTTGAAGTGGCAGCTCCAGCGATTTCCACGTGGCCAAATTTTGGACTGCCAAGTGCCCCATGATCTCTTGGCAGTTGCAACTTCTTCCTTCTATCTTCTCCCTCCTCTGTTGCAGACTTCAGCCATGTTCTCTTTAGTCTTCAATAAACTTGTGTCGTAGGTAGTTTTAAAGTGAATTCCCACTTGTCCTCTTTATCAATTGACAGATGTCCCACGTTTTTGTTCTTTTTCCTCATGTTGTCGACTTCTTTCCTTAATTTCAGACATGATTTTATCAATTTTAGTCTCGTTATCCATGATCCTTGGTAACTTCCCTCAGTTAGTGGTAGTTCCCCTATGAATCTCCACCACTTTCAATCGACATATTCTTACTTGGCCAGGTGTCCCACGATCTTTATAATCCTTTCCATCTGCAGACTCCTTCTTTCCCCATACAACTCCATATATATCATGCATAAATAAAGAAGTTACTTGCAGACCAACGTTACCCTTAACCTGGGTAACTTCCTTCCAGTTTGATCTTTCCTTTCATAGCATTGTGGCTCCTTCTTTCTAGCAACTTCTTCATCATGGGCTGCATATAATACAAATATATATATATATATATAAATATGTGTCATCCCACGTTCCTTCTTTTGTGCAAACCACGTCTCCTTGATTTTCTGCAACTTCTCTCAACCAAACCTTCCTTTCTGGGCCTGAAATTCATGACGCCATGGACTCCATAATTTCAATGATTGCTTCATCGTGGGTTTTCAGTATATATATATATATATATATATATATATTTCCATAATTACAACTTATTCCCACGTCCCTTTCGTTCAGCAAACCACGTTCCTTGGATTTTTGGTAATTCCCCTTCTTGAGACTTTCCTTCTGAGTTTGGAATTCATGGCGTTATGTACTCCTTTATTTCAGCGAGTCCTCGTCGTGGTTGTATTTTAACACAAATATATATATATATATATATATATATATATATATATATATATATATATATGCATCCATAAATACAAATTATCCCATGTTCCTCTTCTCTTGCAAGCTTGTATTTTGACTTAGCAAGTTTAGTAACTGAATATCTACCAAAAATCCCTACAAAGTAGGAGAGATTTTTGGCACCACGTTCTCCTCTTCCTTGCTTATTCAACTTTGGTTTGGCCATGATGGGAAACCTCAAATTACTTAGGGATACATGATTTTTACCCATAAACCTTCTATAACAACAATTCTTTAAAAGAATTGATATACTATGGTAAGTTCCATATAACTCGCCATGTGTTGAGAGCTAATTGGTTGAATTTGTCTTGAATAATTGCATGAGGTTGCATGTATGGTAGTTTTTCCATGAAATAATCATTTTCCAAATAAGAATATGTGGACCCTTCCTTTAAAGATGGCAATTCCTAATAGGACTCACCTCTTTCCTTTTAAAATACAAAACCCCACATGGTAGGATTATACTGACCCATTTGTCTAATTACAACGTAATATTACATAGCTTCCAATAATAATTTATTAGAGTTGCGATCCAACGTGCTAAGTTCCATTGGAACTCGCCACATGTCGCATTTCCATTGGGCCAAAAATAATGGAGTTAACAGTTTTAGCGCGAAATTGTAAAGGTTTTCTAATCCTAATATGCCTCTTTAAACTTTTATATAAACTCTTTTAATTTCACACACAAATTATAACAACTTTTTGATTAAAGATTTCAAAACCACAGAGAGCCTTTGTTTGTGTGAGTTTTTCAGAGAGTTTTATTTTTTTGTTTTTACGAGTACACAACTCTATGTTTGAGTGATTTAGGTGGTTGTTCTATTATTCATTAATTAGAGTTTGCGTGATTGAAATTTTATTGCTACCGGTCGTCAAAAGCCGTTTGTATTTCTACATTGAAATTTCATATTTGAAGAAAATGTGGAAGAGATCAAATTTCAAAGGAATTAAGGCATTCGTGGAGTGTTTGTTGATTTACCAATATCCCTTCTATAGGAATCAAGGGAGTAAGGCTTAAGTTAAGTACAATTCGATGAGAAAGTCGCAAAGTCAAATACGTTTAGTGACTGGTTCTTCGTAGGGTGAAAGGAAAACCATTATACTTTGTTTTATCTATAGTGGATATATTCGCTCGAGACCGCTCGACAATTTTTAAGATTTTTTTGAAGTTGGGTGAATTTCTCCAACTAGGTTTCCCGTTAAAACCCAGTATCACTTTAACCCTACACTTTACCTTACTTGCACTAAAATTTTGTTTTGTGGGTTGTTTAATTTATTTTATTTAAATTAATTTAATTTTAAAAATAAATAAAATAAAAAAGTAAGTTGAATCTATTTACCTCTCTAGATTACTTATCCATATTATATTCCACAACCATTAACAATGTTCAACTCACTGATCATAATAAACTTAACAAAGAGAGATCGTTTAAAAAGAGCAAAGTAAAAGCTCTAGACCTGTGACACAATATCTTTCATAAGTTAATAATAGATAACAAAGAGAGAGATCGTTTAAAAAGAGCAAAGTGAAAGCTCTAGACCTGTGACACAATACCTTTCATAACTTAATAATGAAAAACACAGAGAGAGATCGTTTAAAAAGAGCAAAGTGAAAGCTCTAGACCTGTGACACAATACCTTTCATAACTTAATGATGGATAACTAAAACATTGACCTCAACCGTAGCGATACCCGCGGTAGCATTGAAGAAGTAAGTATTCAATGTAACAACTCCACGTGCTAATCGAAAAATGCCGGAGCCACCAATGATAGACATCTCACGGTACTCATGCATGTATGCATTGCGGCCCATGAAAGCGAGAGTGCTGCCATTGTATTCTCCATCTGTGAAGACGAAGTTGGCAACCATGAGCATTCCAATTTCTGCAAAGCATGCTGAACCATAAAGCCCCTGGGATCGGCCCACGAGTTTGGAAGATAGCTCAGGCCCAACCGTTAATGGGTCATCCATCATATTAACCGCGCCAAAGTAGGTGGATGATGTATAGGATATGTTGGCTTGTGCAACCTGCACAGCAGTTGGGCTCTTCCCATTTGACAGGTCATGGAAGTAGAAACGAAGCTTGGTTACCTTTTCCTTTGCATGGCCGACCTTTTCGAACCACTCTTCCACTGCTTCGGGCTCTTGAGCAATGCTGCGAACCACCGGAATGGCTATGAACATTGAGCAAAGCAATAGAATCAAGGACAGCTTCTCCATCTCTCTCTTTGTTTACTTTGGTTTTCTCTCTATATGTTACAATGATAGACTACATATGTCCATATATGTGTATGTGGGGGGCTAGGCTATACAATTAATTAATACTAATGATTCCTTGCAAAAATAAACGAACCCGACCGGCCTCGACTGTGTCAAGAAAAAAATATTATTGAAAAAATGAATTTGTACGAACGGTTAAAATTCCGGTTGGTAGATCATAATAAGTTAGGAAGAAAAATAAACAAATAGCACCATACGAAGTGTAGTGCTGAGAATCGAGGTACCAATTTTGAACTTGAGCAATAGTCGAGAGCATTGCTCAACAGTATATTGACCCGTGACTCTTGTGATGGAGTACATACTGTACAATGGTAATAATGTCACTTGCCTAACTGCATTTTTTATGCCAGTGTTTCTCGTGGTTTGAGGGCACAACATGTGCCTTGGATTGAATTTATATTATAATATACAAAATCTCGAATTACTTATAAAAAATTGGATTCGAACTCCACCAAAAAAAACGGGCTTTTATATTAAGGTTTCATAATTGCTGCAAGTTTGAACATAGATTGGATTCGAACACAAATTAAACTTGGTCACTAATCAATGATAAACTTAAAATAAAAAATTTTAAAAAAAATTAAAATAAAATTGAGAAACATTCCATTCTAACACCAGTATAACCAATTTATTTCATTCATTCTCCATCACCCCCACTCACTCTCTCTCTCTCTCTCTCTCTCTCTCTCTCAAATTCCGGTTGGTAGATCATAATAGATGCATAATCTCTCTTTTCCGTTACAGATCATCATTGAAGCACATAGGAAACAATTGGTTTATCATCCAAGGACTCTGTTATTACCTTTTACACTTTCTTATTTCTATATGTTTACCTCAATATTAGCTATTGGAAAGGCGGCACGTGGCGAGTTCCATGTGACTTGCCATACGAGATTAATATTCCTGTAACATGAAAAGAAGCTACAAATTGGGATGAAAGCATGGAATAGCTCAGATGCTACCACGTGAAACTAAAGGTGCCACTACAAGAAATTTGGTCTTTAGTGACGGTCAAATCTATCCCTAATGATCGAATTCGACCGTCCCTAATAATTGTGTCACAAACAATTTTTAGGGACGGTAAAAATTGTCCGTCCCTAGAAAAATCAACCTTTGGGGATAGACTTACTTCCCAAATAGGACCGTCCCCTTTGATTTATTAGGGACTAATACTTATTAGGCACAATTTGTATTGTCCCTAATATTATTATTATTATTATTATTATTAAATTTGTGACAGTTATAAACTTTCTCTAATACTTTATTATTAATATATATATATTTTGCATTGCTGGGTTTGTGTTCTAGAAAAACTATTAAACCACATCCACCTTGTATATCAAAACATCGGAACATAAAAAGTACGTATATCCACAAATTACAATATCATTAATTCTATAAAGATAAAAATAGATTATCACCACAATACGGTATCAACAAATGAGCTCTTAATCTCATGATTAAACTATAAATTCTCCAGTTTTGTAAACAGGAACTAAAAATATCTACTAGTTGCTTTAACATCAAATGGTTCCAAACATCCTCAAAAATTAAAACATCATTTTAAACCGAATGCAATCGTGTAAATGCAGCCCAAAAAATACACGTACCAAAATAATTAGAAATCGGCTTGCTAGTTAACAGATAAAAGGTTAGAAATCAGCTAGCTAGCAATCAAAAAGCTCCAAAATATATCTACCAAAATAATTATCTTTATAGCTCATTCAGGTGATTGTTGTGGTGGTGCTGGCGGGTGGTGTTGAAATTGCCACCATGTTGGTGGTTGTTGATACTAGCTTGGTGGAGCATGCTGCTATTGGGAATGTGATGGAGAATGTTGATATTGGTGGAACCGTGGTGACAGTTGTTGGTGCTGTTGTTGTTGCTCAAGGAACTGTTGTTGGTGTTGTTGTTGCTGCTCAAGGAGCTATTGTTGCTGCTCATGTAGCTTTTGAATTGTATCTAACTTCTCCTCCAAATTTGTAACTTTCTTCGTAAGTTGTACATTTTTTTCTTCAACATTTTTCACCCTTTTCCTAGAAGCCTCTTCATAAGATGAGGATGCACGTTGATGGCTTGGAACTACAAAACCATTTTCGAACCCACGACGATATCCCTTTCTGATACCTAATTGGTTTTCCACTATCTCAACATCATTTCTATTACCATTAGAATTGTGAGAAACTTGTGAAAACTTCTCTTTTATTTCATCCTGAAAATAAGATTAATGTAGCGTTTCCATCAGTAGCTCAATAAAAAATTAATATAGCAATCACTAACTGAACAACTTTTTTCTTTCTAGACTAAAGAAAGGTTCTCAATTCTATGATCATGGCTGTTGGAACTTTGCAACAACGAAAACCAAAGGTAAAATGACATCTTTCAACACTGAAATTTAAAGCATGGTTATTTCTCTATTATGATCCCATCCCCACAAGTGCCTACACCCATTATAAACACAAGTAGCATAGGAAATGATTGGCCAAAGATCCATATAATCAATCCTCCAAATTGGGAGTCCACAACATTCTCTTGAGTCTGTCTTGAGCTTTGGTGAATGATGGCATGACATTTTAGTAAGTACAATAAAGTCATCAAATGATGCTTATTTATATATTATTTGTTATGAACATTTGATGTAGTGGAAGGATTCAAAACATGGTAGTATTAAAGAAGTTGAGCTGAGTTACAAAATATCAGCTATCCAATACTCTAATGCAAGGATTTATAATGATTCTTTATTTTATTGTATTTTTTTTTTCTTTTGTCATTTTCTCATTCACTCTCTTAAGATAGTTCTAACTTTAAACTTTCACTTTGAAAGAAAAGAGATACTACTAACTAGTTTCAACTAAACTGAATTAACAGAAGTAAACAGAATTAAATTAAAAAATACAGAAGTAAACTCAATTAACAGCTTCTAAATTAAAGAAACCAAAGACAACATTGTTTGTCCATATAGCAGCAAACACACATCTTAGCATCCTCTATATAATACTTTTCAAAATAGAGAATTCAGAATTCATATATACCCAATGGAATGGGTTTCAGATATATATATATATATATATATATATATATATATATATATATATATATCTGAAACCCATTCCATTGGGTTAAAAAGGTTTGAAGATGACATATCATCTGTGATATCAGAACACGTTTAGTAACATCCAAAAAAATTACTGAAAATAGACTGAAGTAAACTGATTTGACAGCTTTTAAATTAAATTTTAAAAACCAAAAATAACATAAAGACACATATAACCAAAAAAAAAAAAAAAAGAGAGAGAGAAAAAAAATTTCAACCTGTTGGTTCATTTATGTAGCAGGAAACATACATATTAACTAAGATCCTCCTCCTGCTATTTTTTGATTGAATTAGAGTAGAAAATTCATATATACTTCTACATATAAGTATATATATTTAAGTAAACATTTGGTCTACCTAATTCAGTCAACGAGAAAGCAAAGCTATCTGTTTGATTCTTGGACACCATTCGAACCCAAACTTCACCCTCGTGATTGTTCATACCTATCACCGTCTTTTTCTGCTGGCCAAACTGTTGCTTCACATACATAGTGTAATGACCCGGTCATTCTCATTCCTTTCCCTTTTCTCAGATTTTCACGGATATTACTTTCTGAGTTCAGTTCCTCATCGCTTAGTGTCGTCTCGAGTGCTCTGCAATGATTTTCAAGACTCTTTTCTTTGGATTAACAACTTTCTTTGAGGGCCGAGTCATTTTCACATTTTTCATTTTTCGACACTATTCACTTTTCGTCCTTTTCCCTATTTCGTCTTTTTCCCTATTTTGTTTTTTCCCCGTTTGTCACTTTGTTTGCAAAACCACACTTCTTGTGTTCGAAGTTGGTTTTTGACTTCATGTATCTTCATTCTAAGTGGTTTCCACGAAATACGTATCTTTACTTTTGTAAAAAAGTACTCTGGTTGCTCCCGGTATCCATAGGGGCATGGATGCATAGTTTTTCAGAATCTTTTCTTTTCTTAGGGTGTTTTTCGTAAATATCTTTTGAAGATATTTTATTTTAGGAGTTTTTAAGAAAATATTTTTGGAAGATATTTTCATTCTGGGCCATTAGTGCAGTTTTCACTTTTTGGAGGGGCCATTGTGCAATTAATGAAAGTTATTGCTAAATGCCTTGTTTTGAGCCTGGATCCTCGTACGGGATTCATTTTCACTTTTCATTGAGTCATGTACTCATAGAAATTCCTCTTGGTCGTTGTTCAGTTTCAGGGTTTCTGGCCCCAATTGCCGCCGAACTTGTTTGGGGCATAACTTTCTGCTCGGGACTCAGTGTTTGACGCCGTTTCTTCCGTTGTTCATATTTTCTCATTTTAAATCTTTTCCATTCACAGATTTTTGCCATTTGAGCGCGTCTGCTTGAATTTCACTTTTTCGGACCCAGGGGGCCCTATTCGGGGCACTTTTTGAAATTTCTATAAAAGGGGGATGAGATATTTCATTTTTCATCTTCCCCACTCTCCTTGCACAACCAGTAGCTCCCATGGTATCCCAAGGGAGGCTGCCACCTTATCTTTCCTCTTTTGAGCTTCATTCATTTGTCAAAACATAGTAGGGCCTTTGTGTTTATTGCCCGTTTTGGCGATACGCATCTTTCACCCTTATTAGAACCCATTTCTGACCAAATTTTGAGTTTGGGTTTGAAGTCAAGTTATGATTTTGATAGGGCTTCTTGGGGGTTCATGTAGATCGTGTTGTCCCCAACAAAACCCTTCGGTATCGTCAGATTCGGAGCACTTTTTTTTCGGTGGGCTTTTGAGATTTTCATCTCAAATTAAGGTAGGGGATGTTTTAGGATTTTATATGTATTGTATGGAGTGTTTTTCATGATTATACAACTTGTATGCATGCTTTTGTTTAAAATCTAGAATTTAATTTAATTAATTTCTA